GGTTAATGTGCCGAACTATGGATCCAAGGTTCCATGATTCATGACCCATTACCGCAAAAAAGAAAAAAAATCACGCTTCGCACTTTGAGGCCGTGGCGGTCAAGTAAGTTAACCACTCAGAGAAAGAATTCCTACTCTGACATGGTGATCAGTTACTTCATCGATAGTAACACTATGCTTGGTTTGAATTTCATGCAAAGCTATTCGAGGGCTATCTGCGCTAGCCTTCCCTAATTTAGCAGTGATAAACAAGAGGGTGGGCAGCTAGTCAATACCATCTACCGCCAACTCTTGGGATACTTGGGTTACCAACGAATAGTGGGATTGACTGTCATAATATAACGCCTCGACGGCTGGAAGGGCGAGCATATTCGGTGACGAGGATTCGAACCCGTGCCCAGCAGATAACGAGTCGAGCGCCCTAACCACCAGTTCATAAAGAATAAACTATACGATTTTGAAGCTGTTATCCAACGATATAGATATTTTCCTTTTGTATATTCCCCGAAGTATATCTTGCACTTTTTTATGCATATTCTAAATAATACTCAAGTATTTTATCATCTTGGCCGTAGTTTGAGAAGACCATAAAAATTCCTTTGTTTACGGAGTTTGGAACGAGTGCATTTTCGCGATGACCACGTGCCACATAAAGAAAATCCATGATGCTCACAAAATACTATTTCTTCAATGATGCAATAAGTTTTTGGCTTCATCTTTTTATGTAGTGCGGAAGCGACAAGTTTAAAGTCAGTATGCTTCTAACAATCCTTATGACTGGCGAAAAATGAAGATTTTTTTCATGTGCAGCTTAGTGGTGCTGCATACTTTCATGCATAGTCAACTTACCATTCTTACTCTTAGCTTTAAGTAGCTTTTGGAAAAGAGTTTGAATTAACGCACTTGCCTTTTTTAAAGTTTTTTTGTTCATTACGATTTCCAAATAAAAGGCAGATCCGATAAAAACTACTCCTTAACTCGCAACAGTATACCAGTTCTAAGAACTAACTTTTGTTAAATGTGTATGTCATCATTCCATTTCCTTTTACAATTGTTTGTCTAAATAGATGATAGTTTTCTTATGGTATTTGCGGTGCTTTCAAATATCCAATGGGATTCATATTGTTTGAGGTAATGACACCAAATTTTGACGCAGCTGTTGACTGCTCGTATAGAGAGATTTCCGATCTGGATTTTATTGTCTCATTCGTTAAGGATATTGAAGGTACTGACATAGAGTGATCTGACCTTGCCGTTACTGAGACCAAAAGGTTTAACGTGAAATACTCTGACAGCTACTGATGTAAGGGAAAGAGTCTAACATGTCTGTACAACTTTTCAACGGTCTGTGAATTTGCGATTTCAGCCAGACATTAATTAATTACGTGAGTGCTCTGGCATAGGAGGATCCGACATTGAAGATGCTGATGTTGAGAACACTGAAGAAAGAAGAACAGAGTTAAATCATGAAACGATGTTCCTCATGCATCGACTCTTAGTATTTTAGCAAAATTTTCTTTGTTTTTATAGCTTGAACCAGATTCTTTATGTCTTCTTCTACCAGTCATTCTAAAATTAAATAATATTTTAAGTAAATACCAAAAAATTAAGAAACTATCTAATAGATACCGTCAAAATATACTATAACTACAAACAAAATACATATTACATTCACACTTGTCCCCGCTGGACAGCGGTAAATCTACGGATTTACCTCGCCAAAATCAGGGGTTCAACTCCCCTCGGTGGACACAGCAGATGATCCGACGTGGCTTTGAGAGAGAAAAATGAAAAAATATAACAATTAAAACTCACTAGAAGTCAATAATATTATTTATTGTATTCCAAGATTTTTGTGTTTGAGATCGAAGGCAGCTGTAGAGATAATGAAGTCCATCGATCTGAGAAAGTGTGAATAGATTCACATGCTCTACAGCCAATACAGTATTATTGTCTAGTCAATCAAAATGCTTTAAATCATATAAGTGTGACAACGTTTTGGGATTTACCAGGGAGTTCGTCGCTAATATATCTATGGATTTGTGATCTCAGCTTGACATAAATTACTTATTCTAAGGTAGGTTTAGTTCGATATATATCTTTTCTATAGAGGCGGCATCTCAGAAGCGATATTTTCTTTATAAAATGTTTCAGAATTTCACCTATAACGCTGTACATTTTTTACAGGGGCGGAATATTTACCCGAAGGGGTTCGCACTTTCTGTACCCTCCCTCTTGGTGCGTCACTGATCTAAAATTACTGTTTTTTATCATTTCATGTATTATTTCTCACTTTATGAATTTACGTGTAGGAAACCAAACATATTATTTATATACATATGCGTGTATATGTCCATGTGTATGTAAATACGTACATTTATGTATATCTGAATAGGAACTATATAAAAGCACGTATGACAGACATATATATATATATATGCGTTTTGCCTCTACGTTTTCGTATAATAATTTGTATATTCCTTTTTCTGTTTTAACAATATACGTGGTAGCAGCCCCCAGTAGCACAACGCTAGAAACCGGGTTTCGATAACCGTGGTGGGCAGAGCACATATAGCCCATTGTGTAGCTTTGTGCATCAATTCAAACAAACGTGGTAGCAATATTTATAAGTAAAGATAATAACAACATCCTGACATTGAATAATATGTATGTGCACAGAGTCTATAATATATTCGAAATCTTAATGTGTCTAACATTTGTGTCATTTGCTGTATATTGAGTCTGTGTAAACCCTTAAAGAAATGTGAAGCAGAGCATAAGGCAATAAGAGAAAATGTCCTTGTTGTTATAAAGTCGTTAATATGAAATAACTATTAACTATTATGAGGAACGAGGACCTAGGCCAGCGTTTCTCAAACTTTTTAGGTCGCACTCCCCTTTTTTTATAATTGTCCCCCCTTCCTCCCACCATAAAAGCAAAAAACGTTCGACACATTTAAATCATGATATATATTAAGGGTCCTCGAGCTCCAAAGAATAGGGCCTCAATTTTGAATCACTGTAGCGTAATATTGCATGGGGGCCTCAAAGGATCCAACAACAGCCATGATTGGTTGGTTATTGCTTGAAATTTTGTTTTACACTTTTCCAGATTTTATGACGAATGTCTTGTGATAATGTCAGGCAAGGTTGCAAGGAATTTTCTTCATACAAAATAACACCAAGCTTGGATGAAACTTTAAAAAAAAATTAACTCCCCAAAGAACTAATTTATTTTATAAGATGGCAGACAGAACCTTGGATTTCGTGATATCAAAAGAATGTTAGTAAATCAGTAAAATCTTCTTTTTTTCCCCAAAGTAATGGGAGATAATTTATGATATATATATATGCTACTTCTAGTAAGCTGACTGCTTCGAGGCGATTGCAAAACTATTTTATGTAGGCCTATGTTATTATTTTACAGTTATTTTAGCAAATAAAAGCAGTTTTCAAAAAGTACAATATTCTGCTATGAATTTATTTTCCTGAGAGTTAAAGCGAAATTTATTGTTTTAAAGACACGGTTAAATTCACTCAAGACCAGAGATTCTCTTTGTGATATCGCTGTACGTAGGCCTATAATTAGTTAATATTTATTCCTTTTTTTATAGAGTCTAAATAGAAATTCAATTGAGGATATCACGTACGCTTTTGATTAGCTAATATCTCGTTTTTTAAGGGCCGAGTCGATAAGGTCTAGGTTTAGACTCCTGACAAGATGGCGCAGACCACTGGGGCCAAGAAATCCGAGGTCTTAGTATATGCAAAGATTTGAAATGGTATATACGTCTATCTATAGGATGAATTTTTATTTAACTTTTTACTTCAGTACTTAGTGTATTTAGTGAAGCTGTTCACACAATGTAAAAAATACTTTTTTTTTCTGTGGTAACTTCTTATTTTAATCGTTTTAAGGGAAAGTTTGAAATTTAAAATACATATGAACTACACTTGAATTGGCCAAAATATTTGCATATTTTGTTTGTTTGTTTGTTTCTAATTAAGCACGAAGCTACACAATGTGCTATCTGTGCTCTGCCTACCACGGGTATCGAAACCCGGATTCTAGCGTTTTAAATCCGCAGACATACCGCTGTGCCGCTGGGGGGCGCATATTTTATAACAAATAATATCATTATTATTAAGATGGAATACAAAGACAATTAGTGCTGTCAAACTGAGAAATGCATGTTATATTAAACATTTACATATGATATTTGTATAACGAGACAGGTTTTATGGACGTCAAGAACAATTTATTAAAACAGCAAACAATTCTACAGACACATGTACAAAGATGTGTAATTCAGCATTTCACCTATCACAACAAAACCTTAATAGAACAAATATAATTACAAAATATAACATCAAATTATTATAAATAGCGTCTGCAACCTTATATCAAACATTCAGAACTTGGTTGGTACTCTTTGTACTCTAATAACTTCCGCTAGGTGACGTGGTATGCTGTCGATGAGATTATTGATGTAATCCACTGTGATTCCATCCAAAATTGTCACTAAAAGGCGCTGCAACTCAGCTACAGTAGCTGAGTTAGAGTCGTGGTTAGCAATTTTCTGGTTTAATTCTGCTCAACAGTTTTCAGTGGGATTACAATCTGGAGACTTTGGTGGCTATGGAAATCTTGTAACGTCCTCCTGGTCGAGATAATCTTGTGCAATACACGCATTGTGAGCAGTAGCATTCTCATCCTAGAAGACAAAGTTATCGCCAAACATTGCCCTAGCATATGGTAGAAATATCGTCTCCATGTGATGTCTGTAGGAGCCATTGACGTTTCCACGGAGAATATGAAGAGCAGTTTTTTTCCACCATTATGAATAACTGCCCAAACATGTACTGCACCACCTCCTCTATGTTTCTCGTGGGAAAGATAAAAGACAGTCTTCCCTCATCTGTTCTACAGGCAAATGACGAACACGAATCCTACCATCAGCTTTAACGAGCCGGAAATATGATTCATCTGAAAATACGACATGTTGCTTGATGTAAGTTAGCATGTTGTCTTGCCCAAGTAACACACGGTTATGGTGGTGAATTTTGGTTAATATCGGTTAGCACATAGCGCTTGTTGCAAAATAACCTTGTTTGGTCAGTCTCCTATTCGCTGTTTTTCTGGATACCCTGAAATGAATGTGTTCATGCCGTTCTTATCGTAAGGTGTTGCAAAACTTTGACGTGTTAACCTGATCAAAATACGGTCATCTCGGGTAGTATTTTTTCGGCTTCTACCATTAGACTTTCCTGGAATAACGTTTACTGTAGTTCGATGACGTTTCAGGATTCTGGATGCAGTACATTGGAGGTATCCCACTGTTCTGGCAATGTCCGTTTGCTTCATACTATTTCTGGACAGTCAAATATTTGACACCATATAACTTCTGGCATGTGATGAGGCATGACTCTACATCAAATTCAGAGAAATTGTCTGAACAAAGCGTTGATCTGTATCTAAAAAGATTATACAAAACAGGTGTATATGTGTGTTTTGACGAACAAATGGTCGAAACAACTTATACAAACCAGAATAACAACTCGTAAATATTTGTCAGATTATATGCTAGCTCCTCTTTTACCACTCTGACATTTACTCAATAATTACTCCATGCATGCTGACAATAAAATATAGAACAGTGTGCAAACATTTTGGCTAAGACTGTAGATGTGTGTGTGTGGTGTGTTAACCAACGATTCTTAGAAGTATTTAAAGTATGAGATGCTAAATTTTTTTTTTATATACTTAGCTTCTTTTTCAGTTGAATGTAAGACATTATCTATACGCTGACAAAATACTACACACCGCAGTATATATAGAATTAATCTCAACCTATTTAGAAAAAAACTACTTACAATTTCTCAAGTAGGAATAACCCTTTTTAAAAGTATGTGTGTGTTTTCTTATAGCAAAGCCACATCGGGCTATCTGCTGTCCACAGAGGGGAATCGAATCTAATGTTTGCTTGTAAATCCGAAGACTTACCGCTGTCCCACCGGGGGACTTTTAAAAGTAAGGACATAAGAAATATAAGATAAATATACTTATATTCTTCGCAGCATTGGTTGTCGCTAGGGTTACCAAGAAGTTTGTAAGAGCTGTTTGGCCAACTAATTGATGGTAGTTATAATTGACGTGAAAATGATCGATTTTAACAGGTATTAAAATAATTTTAGAAGTTATCCAAGTAATAGAAATATAAAAAGTAAAAGAAAATCATTTCAGTTATGTGACAGGCAACTCTTACAACGATCCTCGAAGTGTTCGATTAGTTATCATCAAATTTAACTCGTGTTTTTCGCTGTTTTTCCACGACTACATCGAAAAGTTATGCTTGTAGTATATGCAGTTTGAGATGTTTACCGTTGAATATATTAGCGTTAAATAAACTCAAATAAAATATTCAGGTTTTATACATTTTCACGCTATAAACACGTAAATTTTGAGATCCAATCTCAGAATTAGATCTCAAAAACTATAGCAACAAAATCTACCCAGTTCTTGTCCAGTCAATCAATTTTATGTATATAACTGAAAATAATTTATTTTGTCCAGGGAAATACAGATGGACTTAGGGAAAATCATACCAGTTTGTTTTACATGTCTCGAAAATCGAAACTTATTTAAATCTTATAGTAATATAAATATTGCGTGTAATATTTAAACCAAAAATGAATGGAGTGAAAATGTATAAATTTATACATATGTTTCTTTAACACTTCGCCTATAAATATAGTAAAAGAAGTAACGAAGATTTTGTTATGAAATAATATTTTGAATGGCATAAGCACACATATTTATTCATTTTTATTGTTTCACAGACACATGTTGCTGAAACCAATGAACATTTATACAAAATTTTAGTAATCGGAGAACTTGGGACAGGAAAAACTAGCATCATTAAACGATATGTTAATAACTTCTTCTCCCAGCAATACCGAGCTACTGTATCCTTTCTGTAACTACTAAAACATTTTTATTGTTTCACAGACACATGTTGCTGAAACCAATGAACATTTATACAAAATTTTAGTAATCGGAGAACTTGGGACAGGAAAAACTAGCATCATTAAACGATATGTTAATAACTTCTTCTCCCAGCAATACCGAGCTACTGTATCCTTTCTGTAACTACTAAAACAA